CTTCTGGACTTACTAAAAGCAGAAGGCATAAAGAACTGACAGATATAAATATCACAAAAAAAAACTTGCCACTTACTAAGATATTAATGTGCAATTAAAGAACTATGTAAAAAATGATAATTTTACAATTATACTCACAATGCGAAAATAGGATCCATAAAACTCAAAAAGGTCTCTAGCAAATACAAGCCAGGAGACATTTATGGAAAAATAAAACCTCATAAACTAGAAGCACCAATGCAACTAATAATATCACAAATTCCCACATCTCCCTGCCACAGAGCAAAAATATTTGATCAAATCATTAAATCATACTTACCTTCAAAATACAGCATTAACGCTACACATAAATTCATAGAAATCCTGAAGAACAACAGACCAATCAAAGGTGTTTTAGAATCACTGGTCATTAAAAACTTATTCACCAACATACATAAAGAAACAATAGATTTAATAATAAAAAATATTCAAACATCCATTACTCCCACCCACAAAAATAAACTCACAATCAAAAATCCTTAAAAAATGAGTTCTAGTCTGTACCATATATTCTATGACTTATATATGACTATATAAGTAATATTTATACACAAATGGATGATGTTGCAGTTGACTTCCCTATGGCTGTAACAATGTCAGATTTTTATATATCAACAATAGGAAATTAATTTTTTTAAAAAACATTCAAGACCAAAAATATCCACTATCCAGGTTGATGACATATTTATACTAACAACACCGAGGAAGTAAAAGATCTGAGAACAATTTTTAAAAACAACACAATCTTTAACTTCACATATGAACTGAACATAAATAATAGAATTTCTTTCCTAGATGTATCAATTACCTTAAATAGTGAAAATTTTAAAACTTCCATTTATTAAAACCTACACCTACTTAATTACAAAAGTGAATACCCACATAGATCCCAAATAACCCTCATGAATGATTTTATAAAGTACATTTAATATTCTTTACATAAACAATATTTCTGAGTAAATTCAAAAACAGGAAACAAACACTAATTAGCAATCATTTCTCTAACTATATTGTTGATAAATCAAACTAACATTAGAAAAAATAAAAATAAATAATAATTAAAATGAAAATAACATGAAAAAAAACCCATAAAACCATGCAATAGGAATCAACTACACAGTAACCACATAGATGAAAATAATTATAAGAAATCTAATACAGAGTTATAAATCAACTAATGATGAAAATAAACAAACTGAAATTATCATTTATTACAAAAAGCTAAAAACCTCTAACATGATAATCACCAATGACCCAATAAAAAATCAAAACTTCAGATGTTGGCTCCATCCTAATTTAAATTCATTTTTTATACATCCTATATAGATTTTCACAACATTAGGATTCTCAATGGATTAGATAGAGCATTGGTAAACTACAGACTCTGTGCGACATTTATTATTCAAAGGACAATTTTCAGGATTTCTACAGTTACATAATTTTCTTTATTATTATTTATTCTTATTTCAGGGTTACTATTTCTTTGATTCTGGCATAAGTATTTATTCAAAATTTTATTATTATGTTTTTTTATAATCCTTTCTAAATTTTCAATACAGCTGTAACTTAATTTTAGGGTATTTTTATTAAAAATTTTGTTAAGTATACTATTTCAATATTTTTCAATGAAAGCCAGAATTTATGTCCTAACTTACTATTAACCATTTGGCTGAATGGGGGTGTGTACCAAATGATTTTTCTATTTCTATGAACAGAGTAATTTTTATAATAAAGCTCTAAAGAATAGTGGATATAAATGCTCTAACATCAATTATATAAAAAATAATAGTAGAAACCAGAGAAAAAAGAGAAATAGAAAAATTTTATATAATTATATAATATAGTGCAATGTAAACCTAAATACCAAAAAGACAGACAGTAATGACATGCCTGCTGGAAAGAAAGTCAGTATGAAACAGGCAGAAATCTAAACCCCCACCTAACCTCAACTGACTTTAAATTTGCCACACAAAGATACATTTGCTTTCTTCATTAAAAAAAAAGCTAACACCTCCTTAATAAAAAAAATTGGGAATTCTCTTTACCCCACCAACTTAAAAATATGTAATTACTGTTTGGCTTACAAATAGAGTAAATCAAACTTTTTTGAAAGTTATTCTTAGCATTGCTTGAAAATGGAACCAAGCTTCTGATTTTAAGTTGAATTTTAGGATTTAAGTTTGAAAACATAGTAATTTTTGTGTTGCGATGGAGACATATTTTTAAAAAAAATAATTATAATAATATGCTCTACTGTATATTGAGCACTGTTTTTTAAAAATAAATGCTAAAGAAATCTGGATTATAAATCTAACTGTTCTTTCCTATTATTTTTTATATATATATATATATATATATATATATATATATATATATATATATATATATATATATACACGTATGTATTGCAAGCCAAAAGATGTTTTTTAAAAGTGTGCTATTTATTAATGGTACAATTTCAAACAAGGATCACGTCATTCAGAAAGTTGTTAGTAAGCTAATATTTTTTGATCTGTTAGCAAAGTGATTTCGCCATTAATTACATTAACTTTACTGATTACTACTTTGGATGATTACTTCTTTATAATATTATAAATACTGCACCAATTAATATATGTATAAAAACTGATCCACTCTCCAATTTTCTGGAATAAAATTGCAGGACATTTTCCTAATGATTGAAGCATTTTATTCATGTCATATTAACTGAAAAACACTTCTAACAAAACCATTTGTGGATTTGACATATTAGAATTTAAAAAAAACTATCTCATTTGAAATATTCAAAATACAACTCTAGCATTGCGACACCACACATTCCGAAATTGTAGCATTAATAAATAGTGCAGTCTGAAAAATATCTTTTGGCTTGCAATACATTTATTTTCATCTTGAAATTTACCTGAAATATATATATATATATATATATATATATATATATATGTATGTATGTATGTATGTATATATATATATATATATATATATATATAGATAGATAGATAGATAGATAGATATTAGTTCTCAGGCCAAGAAATTTTCTACACTCTCACATAGACCTTTATGTAGACAGGGCTTATGGATATTAGTGTATTTATTAGTGTTTTTTAATTGATGCCAGTATAAAACACTTGTTAATGCTAAGCACAGGAAAAGCATAGAAAAGTTAATCTGAGGCCAGTCCTGTAAAGAGATTGTCTTTATGTTATGTTGAGGATTATAATAAACTTGAGCCTCAATTGAATTTGCTTAAATTAAAAAGACAAAGTTGATGGAATTGTGGTAATCCTCGGGTTGAACATATGCTTCATTTTACTTGTCCCAGTTAGAATAATTTTCTTGATGATGTGGTTAAACTTGCTTGAGAATTAGGTAAGTTTCAATGCATAAGTTTGGATGGTCAAGATTTCCACAAATCATGAGTATCCTAGCTTTTAGTTTAAGCTTGTAGGAAGGAACACCAGACAACTCAAGAAAGTTTAGAAACTTAACTAGTTTATGAACTGTTTAGATGCTTCTGGAACTGTGGCAGACTGCTTATTTTTACGCTTGCATCATTCTTATGAGCAAGAATGATTCATTCACAGAGCAACTCATAGTTGCTTTAGATTTGGGACATTATTTTATATTTTTAAGATAGATGAAGATTAAGTTTAATCTTACAGATTTTAATAAGCTTTTCCCTACTATAAACTGATAGAATTAATGTTCTTGATAGTCAAAAAAAAGCATCACAAATTTTGAACAGTTTCTCCATTAACTTCATCTGGATGTATGACAGCTTATATGCAAATTGGGAAAGTATAATACAAAATTAGACAGATCTTATTGATGCATTTCAACAAAACATTTTTGAATTAATTTTTGATTCCTAAGTATACATCATATATGTAGAATTATATATAAATACATGAATAGACGTATATGTACATGCATGTTTATATTTAGAAATTTGTTTGTTTTTAATGTATAGGTTACTTCTGATGAATAATATTACTTGTTTCAAGCCTTTTTGTACTTAGTTATGACCTTATTTAGTGAAACAACACCTAACAAAGTAAATGAAAATACAAAGAGTTATAACAATCAAAAAAGGTTCAGAATATCTTCCTCATATTCTATATGAAAACCCATGTGCAAACTTCCTTTATAATTTGTTAATTTTTTCAGATAATTAACACAAATATTCACATATCAAAAATTATCCCCAAAATGTTGTTTCTTTTTGTGCTTCTAAACTAATGAAGAAAAATTAGCAGATGTTCTGAAAATGACAATAATTGAACTGATGTACTTTATGATGCCAAACTATTTTTAAATAAAATGGAAATGCTGAATGTCTTTAGCTTCTGAGATTTCGGTTTTGATCAAAGTAAACCAAAACTTAGGTCTAAACTTCCATCAAAACAATTCATGTTGATGATATTCAGTGGGGGCCGCAAGTAATAATTTGCACACTAAAATTAGTCCACATCATTTTTCACATGTTGGGAATGCAAATGATTTTCTGGTGGGTAGATTTCATGGTATTATTTCTTATCACTTTCAGAATATCATGCTTAAGAATCAGAAATATGTAAAAGACATGGATTATTTAACAATAAGTTTAGAAACCACAAAATGTATTTCTAACAAGAAAACACAGCAAGTAAATCTGTTGAAAAATCTATCTTGATATTAAGAAGTCTTCATCTCCAAACTGGCATTTCATAAAATTTTAAGTAAAAAAAAAAAACAAATTTAATTTTCTCTTTATTTTTTATCAAATGCAATTTTTGTACTTTTAATTACTGTTTGAATCAAGCAAAAGTTTTAATTAAATTTTAGTTTTATTGCATCACAAACATTCTGTTGAATTTTTTCCTAAATCTTTCATTTTGCATGACTGTTCTTTCTTTTGCAACTATGTCATTTTTTTGTTTATTTTTTCTTTATTAATGTTGTGTATTTTTTTCTATCTCTAGTTTCGTACCCAGGGCCGGGGAGAGTTGCTGGTTTCTCTTTGTTATCAGCCTGCTGCTAACAGACTTACAGTTGTTGTACTCAAAGCAAGGAATCTTCCTAAAATGGATGTCACTGGACTTTCTGGTAAAATTCTGCATGATACTACATTGTCAATTAAATGATATTTTTCAAATTTTTACAAAATTACTTACAATTACAAAGTAGAAATGACATAAAAAAAGGAGATGTTAAAATAGCTAAGCAGTTTTGTTATGTAGGCTTCTTCAGGAAAGAAATAGACTTGAATTTATTTATATTCTCTTCCATTGATAAAAACAATCTTTTTTTCTGAAGCACCATGAAAAGACACCTCAACAAATTATATAGTTTAAATTGTTTTCTACATAGAGTGACTGAAGTGAAAATTTTAATCTGTGACAGTCTAGAAGTTGCTAAACTATTAAACAACAGAAAACATTTGAAAGATTTTTCATACAGAATTATTTAAAAATATCTTTAAAATATTTACTCTGTTTTACAGTACTTTATTGTGCAGGATTAAAGATGGACTTATTGAGTTAGTCTGGTTAAGTGGTTAATAAATTGTGGTGAAGCATAAGATCTTTTGGGATGATTTAGAATTCTTTTGCTGTAAGCAAGAAATGTTGGATTGGCTGTTCTAAAACTCCTGGAGGGTCAGCCAGTTGGAACAGCCCTGTATACAATGCAAAGTGTAACACCTTTTAAAAATGAGTTGCTTACAGTACTTCACCTTAATATGATTGAGTGATGGATTTATCTGTCTGTCATCATCCATCAGTTTCTGAAATAGCTTGTGACTGTCTTGTCTAGTTTATCACACTGTTGAGAATGCTCCTCTTTGACTAAGAAAAATCAGGTGTTCTCAAAGTCCCAGACCCATGCTGACTAATAGCTGATACTTTCCCAGTATCATTCATATGCAAATAGTCAACACTACCTACTGTAAGTAGGTTTTCTCTCAACAACCTGTTGTGAAAGAGGGCATAACTCCTTGTGTTTACAGCATTACATTCAACCAACACTGATCAGGTTGACCCAATTCTCTGTTAATCCCTCCCCACCAACTGATCTCCTGATCACAGCACCAACATGCAGGGGGCAAGCATTTCCTTCTGGTGCTTCTCTGAGGAGGTAATTCATCCTCATTGTTGTCGCCATGTGGGAGAGGTATTTCATCCTCATTGTTGTTGCTATCTGTCTCTGAAGGTGCATGGGTTAGGGTTAGCAGGAGGTGCATCAAGCATCTGGGAATCTACTTCCAACTGCCCATTACTCATGGATTAGTCAATAGCATCACATGCAGCAGAGTATTGGTCCCATGCCAGTTGGACATCTTTAACATGACATGGCATGCCCTCACTCAGGACAGATTGAGGACTGATGATCCCACTAACCTTCCCAGTTGTAGATTTGGAGGTACATCAGTTCTGGGGTGGTCTCACCCACACCATGTCTCTAACTTCATATGTCCCATGCTCTGTCAATGGTGTTAGTGCAAGTACAGCATCAATGTCCTTGAGCCTAACCTCATAAGTATGAATTGTGTTAGCTGGTGCAGTTGGTCTAGAGACATCATCCTTTAGCATTGCATTATACCAGTAAACCACTTCTTGTATGAGGCATTGCTTCTCCACTGCAATCTGTTTTATGCTCCTATGGCACCTTTGTATTATCCCGTTTTCAGACAGTACATGTACACACTGAAAGTGCAGTTGGACACCCCATTCCTCCATGAAAGCCTTGAATGGCCTGCTGGTGAATGCAGTATTGGTGTCAGTGAGCATTTTGTATGGTGGACCTCTGTCACAAAATATCAACTCCAACTGCCAAATAACACTTGCAGAATCTTGTTGCACAATAGGTTGCCAAACAAAGTACCATGTCAGACCGCAGTCAGTCAAGGTCAAGTAATAACTGTAGCTATAATGTGTAATATCCATCCCCAGCCTGGATCATGTACTGCAAACCACTAGTCTTCCATTCTCCAATCACACTAGTGCTGGATCTATGAACTGGCATTCAGGACACCTCTGAATCACTTTCTTGACAGCTGTGCTAGGCATGGAAGGATTTACTTGCCTGACAAAGTTTGAGGTATGCTTAACACCAGTGTGACTTCTATACTGATATATTTCAATTATTTCACATAGTGTCCTTCTTCAACAAATCCAACCACCTCAGTGGAACTCTGCTAAGTTTGTCAGCTTTGTTTTGGTTGGAATTTTGCCAGCTTTACATCCAAGAGTAGGCCATACTCCACAATTAGTTCTTGAAGAGTCCCCAGTCATCTCGGCACAAGCATCTCGCATGCTGCCTTCATTTTCAGGCATGCCTTTCCAACTAAGATGTTGTTGATCCAGTGGTGATTAGATGCAGAATCGGTGATCAGATGCAACACTTTTACTTTCCACTGCAGGGCCAAGTTTATGCCCTTAAACATTGCGTTGATCTCAGCTAGGTTGATATGTTGAGTGCCACCATTGCAATGAAGCCAGCATTCATCCTCCACAATGTCTCCATTCACTTCCAATGCCACCCCATTGGCCAGAGAACTTGCATCTACCCACACAATCATTTCCTGGCCACACAAATACCAGCCTCCATTTGCAGGGGCTTCTTGACATACTTTTGTCACTATCTCATGGATTATGCACCTCAGAGGGATGTCACAGGTTTCATTGTTCCATTATTTGGTTACTGCAGTGGCTCATCACTTTAAGAATGCCACAGCTGCCTTAAGTCAACCACATACCAGAAAGTGGTCTTACTTAGAGAACTTATTACAACATGTGTTAACAGTTGAAGTTCCTGGGAACTTACTTGCTCATTTCCACCAAAGTACACTGCACTCCCCACCCCAACTTGCAAACCAAGCTCTTCTGCACCATTGTCAAGTCACACATGGTCCTTGCAGATCAGTCCAAAATCAGACATAAGCTCACTGACTCACTCCACAGAAACCACACTTTCGTTGACAAAGTTGTCATCTATGTATGTGAAAGTGGCATCTTGGATTGCTTCGTCCTGTGACAGTACAGTCTTGATAATTGTCTTCATTTTAAGAGGTACCACATTGAGGTAATCACATAAAGCAGTACCTGCACCCTTTCAATAACATGGTCTGAAAAGGTGACCAGTGTACATGAACCTGTAGGTACACTCACCTAAGGTTCAACAGTGGTATATTGCACCCCTATTGTTACCATTCCCTTAGCTTGTCCACACAGACATCTACACGAATACATCTGTAGTGATACTAGCAAATTAGTATGCATAATTTGCATAAGAAGAACTGAACATTCAATATAAGTGGTTACTGAGAATAACCACTAGCAAGTACGAGTCTAGCAACTGATTAGTGCTAACCTCCACTTCACAACAATGGCGTCACCGATAGGATTTCCATTGTCTCTGGAAGATCCAGAATTTGTCGATACTTGGATTTGTTGCTTCTCTGCCACTGCTAGAACAAAAAAGTTGTAAGACAACAAGGAAAAGGGATTAAAAGAGAAAACAGAATTAGTCTTGAATAGATTAAGAAATGCAGGAATGACGATAAATGAGAAAAAATGCGTAAGCAACTCCAACAAAATTTCTTTTTTAGGTTATTCCATTTCGAAAGAAGGTATATCACCAGACCAAGCCTTGATAGAAAAAAATACTAAAAGTAGCTACACCTACAAATAAAAAAGAATTGGAGTCTTTTTGGGATTGGTAAATTTTTACAGGCGATACTTACCAAAAATACACGGACTTGACTGAACCATTTGCAAATTTAAGAAAAAAGAATGTAGAATTTATCTGGTCAGGCGAACAGCAGAAAGCTTTTTGAAACATTAAAAGAAATAATGTCAAAGAAACCTGTAGTGAAAATTTTTGATCCAAAAAGGACATGACACTCACTACAGATGCAAGTGAACATTCAATATCAGGAATATTATCACAAGAAGGACATCCGATAATGTATTTGTCGAGAAGGTTAACGAACACTGAATTTAATTACTCGAACATAGAGAAAGAAGCATTGGCTATTGTGTGGACAACTACCAGAGCCCGACAATTTTTAATTGGAAAAATTTTTTTACTAAGAAGTGATCATAGACCATTGCAGTTTATATTTAACCCAAGGAAAGAATTACCCAAAGTCACGACATCAAGGATTCTACGATGGGCAATAAGATTGATGGCATTTGACTTTGATATAGAGTATGTCAAAGGAAATTCAATTCCCCATGTGGGCGCACTATCAAGATTGAGATTTTACAAGGAGTCAAAAGACAAAACGGAGGAAGAATTTGAAGATTCGTTCCTACACTTGATAGAGACTGATGTTTTGTCTTTAGACAGAATGGCTGCGGAAACGAGACATGATTCAGTGCTAAGTAGGATACTATCGAGAATAAGAAAAAGTTTGTGGGGAAATTGTTCTAGGGCGGAAAGACCTTATAAAGAAATGAGGCATAAATTAACAATAGAACATGGAGTAATATGCAGTGGGGACCTGGTAGTTCCCCAGAAACACAAAGAAAGCTGCTAATAGAAAGTGTACATAATGATATACACTGTGGAGTAGCGGCCACACAAAAAAGGATAAAACTAGAAGCTTGGTGGCCGGGTTATTCAAGAGATGTTAAGGATTATGTAAAGAGGTGTAAGAAATGTAAAGAGTTAAGAAACTTTACACAAGCCAAGTTACATTCATGGCCCAAAGAAATGGAGCCATGGAGTAGGGTCCATATGGATCATGCCTACGTAAATGGAGTGGGACTCTTATTAATATTAGTGGACTCTTTTTCAGGTTGGCCTGAAATAATAAGGGTTGCAAACAAAAAAAAGTTCCACTATAAAGCAAATTCTAAGAGTCATATTCTCTAGAAATGGTGTACCAAAAACCTTGGTATCGGATAATGCACCGTAATTTTGCGAGGAAGAACTTAACATATGGTTAGAGTAAATAGGGTGTAAACCATATAAAACTCCTCCATATCACCCTCAATCAAATGGAATAGAAGAAAGGATGGTTCAGACTGTAAAAAAGGGGCTGAAAGCATGCTCTCAGCAAAAAGAAAAAGTAGAAGTTTTTCTACTGAGGATGCTTTTAA